GATTGAGCGGTTGGAGGTGTAGGCACCTCAGTATGCTTGACATAGGCCAGCACTAGGTCCCCTCCCTCACCCACTCTTTTTCTCTTCTCTTCACTGCAGGGCTTTTAATACAATTATATATATATATATATATATATATATATATATATAACTAGACGAAACTTATGGTTGTACGGCAGTGAAGCATCAGTGCCAACACTGATGTTGCTGTCTTTGATGATGATGAGTCTTTCCGAAGCAGCTGAGGTTGTTCACCAAGGGTCATATGTCAGCCAGCCGCTTACAGAGAGCGGACCGATGGATGAACGCTCATCACGAGCTTCTGGCAACAAATTTTGCCAAAAAAGACTATGGTTGGAGGCAACAGCATTCAGATACTCCTAACTTTGCCCTTAACCGATGATTTGAAGGAATTACCTGATAACTGAAGGTATCGGGGATCACCTAGCGAAATGCGTCCTTAACCACTGTTGATTGCTGGCTCACTTCACTTATGCATACAAACCTTTAAAAAGTGGCGCATCGGTCGGGTGCATGAGTTCAGGGTAGCTCAGTGGTTAAGGCGCGAACTTACTGATCTGAAGGATGCGAGATGGCCCAAGTGGTTAGAGCACGAATGTACTAACAGGAAGGTTCGTGGTTCGAACCCGACCTCTGTCTCTCGACTTCCCCTGTCTAGGCTTGGGCAACTTGGCAGTACCTCATCCCTCGTGCCTCCTTCGGGTGACATGTCAGCTAGGCACCGGAAGGGTGTTACGGTTGAACGAAGGTCCAAAGTACAAACCTAACCCCAGCATTTCGGCTGCTCTTGTCTAGGCCTGAACAGGCTGGCAGGACCTCAGCCCTCGTGCTTTCAGCGAGTGTCATAGCAACTCAACGCCGGAAGCGTTACAGTCGAATGATTATGACTACTACTATTATCATTAGTGTAACGTTCATTTAATTGGTGGTAAATGTGTGAGGTGCACTTTTCATTGAAAAAGGGAAAGATTTCACTTTTCGACAATTCAGATGGGTAACAGATATCCGCCTCTGCTCAGGTACTTTTGTTCTTTTACTACACCTACATGCGTACTACTAGGATGATTGTGCAATGAAACATTCTGCTCCGTGGTAAATTTTGCCCAATCGAGGTGCAGAATTCTGCGACAGGTGAGCTGTCAGTTCATAGTAATTGGTATGAAAGGATGCTTGATTTGATCACAGGAAATGGAGACTATTTATCGCTTTTTTGGTAGACTTATTATTCGCACAGATTAGGCTAAGCGAGCCTCAGACCTTCCAAAAGCTGGTAATTCACTACACATCGATAAGTATGCACTACGTACTAGTTGGTGGAAATAGCTACAAAGAATCGGCGTTGAATCCTTATTTCTACGTGTTGAAATGGTCAGTGGAGTTGAAGCTGAACGGAGAGGAGCTCAAAAGCTCAAACAACTTAGTTCTTCTGAGGATCCCAGTTCACATGTTGGTCACTTCAGGCGCTAGGTTACTGCCAGAATTATAACTGAATCACTTGCAAACGACACCGGTTGTTGCTCGAAGTTGCACATCCAATAACACATAGTCGTTCAGGTAGGACAACACTTAGGCACATAGCTACTGGGGAAGTCGGAAGCACGAAGGCCGAGGTACTGCCGGTTGCACAAACCTAGACAGGCGCAATCGAACAGTAGTGAGTAGGCTAGAACCACGGGTATTTCGTGCAATACTGCCGAGCTACTTCGAGCATCTGTGACCATTGCATACTTCAGTGCGACAGAAAATGAACGGAAAAAGATTAGAGAGCGCAACCATGTCCAACGGATTTCGAGATTTATCACATCGGGCCTGTCCGCCGGTGGTCCCCGTCAATGCAGTTGCTGTTTTGGTATCCGGTTTTAGACACTTATAGACGGCTAACGACGAGCACAGATGCACAGGTCAGCAGAAGTTGAGAAGTGACCTGTGTACTGCCTCAGTTTTCAAGTTTTCCAAGGAATGGGAATGAACGACAATAAGGAACACATCTGAAAGCGCCTAACAACCTACGGAAGAAGCAATACGGCAGTAGATCAATCAAAAGGCAGTAAAACGTTTGCGTTGCGCTTCCCAAACACTCAAACAAGCGCTTCCTTGCCGTTGCTTAATTTCACATAAAATTTCTGAAAATATTTACAGCTAAGTTCCTGTCGAGTACACGCAACTAACAAGTATGGGAATATCAATTGTCCAGTGTTAAAAAGACTCCAAGGAATGGGAATGAACGACAATAAGGACAGTAATGAAGTCTCGCGTACCCAGAAAGCCTGCTTTTAGAAAACAAATAAAATGATGATCGCCCAGCTCCAACACTTTTTGGTGCATAGCTGCGTTGGCACCCGAAAGGAACACGAGGGTTGTTATTGCAAGGTGGACAAAGGAGACCTGTGTGTATGCGAACCATTTGTGGACAGCCCATGAGTACAGTGAGCCACATACGAGCAAAAATAGGCGTTTTGTGCTGGCGAGGATTGGGTAACTAATTAATAATAATAGCAATCACAATAATAAACGTTCGGCTGTAACACCATTACGTTGCCTAGCTGCCATGCCACACGAAGGAAGCAGGTAATTAAGGTCGTGCGGATATTCACTGTCAGTTAACTAAGAGCGTGAAAGTTTTATTTCCTACCTGGTGCACGACGCCCGGCGGTTAAGGTAACATGCTCATTTAGAGCATGTTCTACCAAACACCAGGCTGTGCTTCGTATAAGCCGGAGACCGCGAATTGCCTTAAGTGGGAAACTTACATTTGACTGCCGATGCGCGTCAGGTGTTACTTGACATTTTATCGTTCCGCCATCCTGCGATGAAAGGTGAAGAAAGGTGACCAGGCCTTACTAACAAAGGAAGGTTGCCCGTCTGTTTCACATATGTCAGAACCTTGGAGTTGGCCTCTTCAAGCTTTGCCACACGGTCATATAGACGCTGTATTTCACAACGTTGCTCATCAAAGGCACGTTTGAATGACAAATAAGCGCCCTCGTTGGACATATCTTGATTCTCTTGAGATGTACAACTATATACTGATCCACATAGGGTAAAAGCTGACCGGCAACCACCGGCATTCAGCCCACGCCCAGTCCGGATGACAGGCACAAATGCAGATCCCTAGCGGTCTGATTGGTTATTGAAACTGGCTTCAAATGCGGACAATTTTTCGCTTTTCTTTAGGTAGTTAGGGCGTCAAAGGCTCGTTGATTCATGTTGTCAGGCAACTGCTCTGGACTCAGCTTCACACGATTACTAAAAATGGAAGTATGGGCCTTTTCAGTCACGTGGAACCAGCGGTCACCGAATACCTTAGATGCATCTGCGGATGGAAATTAAAAGGTCGATAAAGCCAACCTTTTATCTGCTGCTTTCAAATATCCGTCGAATTCCTCATAACTTGCCCGTCCATGAAATTCATGACTGCGAAGTGCGAGCAGGGACTTACTTCTTCTTTCAAGAGGAAACAGCTGACCTCTGTAACCTATAATGTGCAGAATATTCATTCAGTTGGTAGGCGGCTGTTAAGTAGCCGTCCGGCGAGTCTTCATTTGATGACTGTGTAACCTGATGAACTGCTGGGAGTTCTTGGTCATAATTAGGTTCTGACGAAATAGGCATTTTGTTTCGAAAGCAATTGAAACCTGAGCAGGTATACTGGGCTTCCTAATGGGTGCCTATATAAACATTCTATTTCGCGAAATCTCTTTAGGAAAGCTGTCTGTAAGTCAACATTTCAAGAATGTAGTGCAGTTAGAACCCTGCAATCCTCGCTCCACACGGATTCACGGATTCACGGCTTGATATGTAGTGCAGAACCCTGCAATCCTCGCTCCACACGGATTCACGGATTCACGGCTTGATACACAGGATCGAGACTATTGCCCAAGTTTCCCTCCCTGCGTTTGTTCTTGTCGTTCAGTGGCTGTCGTCCACCTGAAAGGCACAAGGGAAATAGGGTGTAGCACTGACCTTTATGTTCTCAGCGCGGGGCAGTATGCTCGCCAGGCTTTTCGTATTTCCTCCTTCACAAGAGTGGATGTGATGAAGACGCTGGAGCTGAGTATAGACACGCACAGTGTTTTCTGTAAACCTCAGATAACACTGTTCAGTTATTCGTCGGTTCTCCGTTTCTGTCCCCCAAGAAGAACGCGGATGGCTTGTTTCTGCGGCGA